ATATTTTTTTTTTTTCTGTATTTAGAACAGGGTCTACAGCGTCTCAGTACATAGATTGGACTTGTAGTGATTCTACTGTTTTCAGCCTCTAAGTGCTGGGATTACAGGCATGTGCCACCACACCCCGTCTCAATTGCCAGCACAGCACACCAGGGATTGAACCCCAGTCCCTGCATCTGCCTAAGCAGGCACTTGAGTTCCCTGAGATATCTGGCTGGTCCTTTCTTTCAGTTTTTTGAAAAAATGTATTTATTGTTATGTACACTTGTCTGGCTCGCAATGCGCACTACAACTTCTCGCTCCTATCTACTGTAGCTTGGTGCCTCTGGACCAACCTCTCTCCATCCTTTCTGCTCTCCAGCCTCTGGTGCCCACATTCTACTCCCAGCTTCAGCGAAATGGGAATTTTTGGAGTCTATCTATGAGTGAGATCAAGTGCTACTTCACAGAAGGCTCTCCAGTTCCATTCAAGATGCACAAAAGACAGGATTTCACTCTTTACATCTGACAAGCGTTTCACTGCATATACGGATAATGCTTTCTATATTTGCTCATCATTTGATGGATCATTTCCTGGGAACACTTTGGGGAGAGTAGACATATTAAGAACATAGATTCTTTCCACCTGCGAACATACGTGTCTCCTTTCCTTTGTTACCTCTTTAATTTCTTTCATCAACATGTCATTATAGAGATCCTTCATCTTTTTGGTTAAATTTATGTCTCATTGTATATGCTTTTTTTTTTTTTTTTTTTGGTGGAACCAGGGATTGAACTCAGGCCCTGAGCTTGCCAGGGAAGCGCTTATTCCACTGAGCCATCTCCCCGGCCCCTATATGCTTATTTTTATAGCTATTTTAAGTGAGAGCTTTTTCCTTTCTTGATTTGGGCATTATCTTGGTCCTTGTCATAGTCATTGAAACCCTTATGCAGACCACAAGGGCAAGTGGCTAACAAAGATGCTGGGACTGAACTGATGAACCAAATCCAGCAGGATTTTCCTCAGATAGGTTTTTAATGTGAGGAAAAATAAGCCTTTGTGTGTTTAAGCCTTATTATTTTTTTTTTCTGGTGTAGCAAAATAAAATTCCATCTCATTCTGTGGTGATACTGATTTCGGGAGATAGCCCTATTGTTTAAAAACAACGTCTGAAAATTTGTTATGAATGGAGAATACTGACTCTTTTCCTATGAGTCATTTAGAAACAAATGCTCATTTGCCTGTAATGTTTCAATTCTGTCCTGCTCAAATAAAGGAAATAGTTTTGTGTGACATATAAGTCAATAAAAATGACATGTTGATATACACAATTTTTAAATTTTAGATATTCTCATTAGAAGTGGAAGAATGTGTGTGTGTGTGTGTGTGTGTGTGT